AAAGGAGGGTTATAATGCAAAGCAATCTTTAAATACTAATCCAAGTGAGAGCAAATGTATTGAAAAATGTCTACCATGTATGGATTTTGGCTCAGAAGAGGGGAATAAATTAGAGGATCATAGCAGACATACTTTTCTTCTTTCTTTCCTTTTTTTTAGCACTTAAACAGAAAAGGCAGAGTGTGCAGGGGTTACACTGGGAAGAGGATGATGACATAGGTGTGTGTTAGATCACAAAGCGTAATAGTTCTGGAATATTAAGACCTGACTATGGTCTTGGGCTAGTTAGTTAAAACTTCTAGATCTCAGTTTCTTTATTTGTAACACTGAGTAAGATTAGATGTGATCACTTAAACCAGTGTAGTAAACTTCTGAAAGTCTGTGAAATTCAGTAACAAAGCACATTTGTCTTAAAAACATTGAGCTATGAAATTTTTCTAGTAGAGGCAATATCAAATATTTAAAATCTACCTTTGAGAGTATGGTTCACTTCCCCACTCAAACTTTTTCCTTTGTGTTTCCTAGTATAGAGGATGGAAAAATAAATCATAAATAAATAATATGAAACAAACTTTGCTATCCAGCTTCCTTGCAGACAGTGTTGATGACATGACACAGCAGTAGCCAGTGAGAACTGGTTAGAAGTCTGGGACTTTTGGGAAAATCTGTTTTCTCTGATACATGTGTTACTCCTTTTATACTCCCCCTAACCCTTGCCTTTTCTTACTCTCTAGAAAGTAGATTTGATGGCTGGAGCTACAATAGCCATTTTGTGACAATAAGGAAAAGGACTTGAAAAATCACAAAACCTTGGCCTTCTATCCTTGAAGTATCAAACCAATACCAGCAGCTTCCTATCTCCAGACTTCTTACTTGAATAAAACTTTTAGTTTGCTCAAGCCACTGTTTATTTATATTTTCCACAGCTGAAAGCAAACTATAACTCTGGGAGGGACTGAAAATAGATTCCTTTAAAAAGACATCCTAAAATTTGTATATGTTTATTCATTCTTCAAACATTTTGCAGCTGGTTGAACACCCTAAGTTCAAAAAGCAACATAAATTTATACTTTCACATATAAGGTGACATTATATTGGACCTGAAATATAACTTAATGATTAATTCAAACAAACTGAAAACAACCCATAAATAGTATTAATTTGTTCACATTCTTCCTCTAACTTAATTTTCATAAAAATAATTTATGTTAAGAATTTTCTAATAAGGATTTAAATTTAACTACCAGTATTATGCATGAATATAGACATACACATATAAATATATATTTCTAGATTTTTTTTTCTTTACAAGCAAAGAATAGGTTAATAAGGCAGAAGTACACACTCAAGGAGGGAGTGTGGGCAGGCTTGAGAGATGAGCAGTGCCTAGATTCTGAGATATTTTCTTTCAATATAAGCTGATTAGCTATAGATTTGAGGTACACTGATCACCATAATATGAAATATAAAAATGGATATGAAAACTATTCTTTTAAAAGAAATTCACTGTAAAAGCATAAAAATCAAGCCTTCTTTTTGTTTCATAATTCAAAAACTTGGCTTGGCAGCCTGCTAACGTGTGCATGATAACAACACTTCACATTTGTATGTGACTAATTGCAGTTCAAAGTATTTCATAAATGAGCAGTGGGTTGTGATTAAACATTATTATGACCACACACGTTTGCATAAGAAAAGAATTATTAAAAATAGAGACAGCATATTCATCCAGCTTCCATTCAAAATTTAGCAAGGAAAGGAAATCCTTAATGGATCACATTATAACCTCTATTCCTGCACAGACCTCTCCCTTCAACGGAGAATTCCTGATCAGATAATGAGCAATACAATATCCATTGTGCAGACCTAGAAACGGACAAAATTAATTGAGAAAAAAAAAGCTACTTAAAATTCCCAAGGAAGAATTATCAGCAACCATGAGAAAAATCATTTTCAAAATGAAATGACTTCTAGAAAAAAAATGATCTCAGTGAAAATGGGAACTTTTATAGAGAGGACTAATAATGAATGTACTCAAAGATTTTTCTGGGTGACAAAATGAAAGCCACACGATGGGAAAATGTTACCGTGGGTATACAGATGTTGGCCTTGCACGTTGGGTCATTTCTGGGTTCAGGAGTCTCTCCCTGATGCTGACTGTATCTTCCTCACTCAGAACAGATACACATGCTGACTCAGTTTTAAATCTGTCTGGGAAGCCAAACTTCAGGGCCACCTAGCATGGAACCCTTTCAGGCAGGTCAGATGCTCAGACTGTGGAGTGTCACCTCTTATTCTCAGGACTCATAGCTATTTGCTTTCATCTTTTCGTATTTTGTAGAATACAAGGAAAGAACCAGATTTAGGGGGCCCTTTTAAGTAAAATAGTACCACATTATGCATACAGGGCCTTAGGAGGCACCTGTGTAAATGAAAGTCCTTGAAGCCTAAGCTTCATGAGCCTCATGGTAAGCTCCACCTCCAGTAGTAGATTATTCTAGCTAAATTTCTTTTTCTATTACTTCTAAATATTACACCTTTGCATTTTAAATGGCATCATCATAAAATTAATACTTGGAAAAAATTTTGCATTATGTACTGCAGCATTGTACATGCAGTGGGTGTTCAGTTAATTTTATTGACGGTGTCATAACTAAAAGATGGAAATTTTTCATTTATAAAGAACACCATTTTAAACATGATGGAAAACCATTGTAAAACGTGTGTGTTATACTAAACACAAACAGGTTCTGATCACTGATGAGAATTGAAGCAAACACAGCATTTGGTGGTCCAATTTTAGAGACTAAGGAGGGATGTGGCCATCAGACTGGTAAGTTACACAAAGGTGTGATAACAACAAACCATGAAATCTTAGTGGTTTATTTCTTGCTCATGTTCATGACCTCCATGACGGGGCCTTGAGCTCCATATGACTTTCAATTTTGGAAGGGGCCATTCTCATCTGGAAAATTGCTGATTGAATGGCTGAGGGCAAAGAGACATGGATGAACCACAGGAAGGCTGTTAAAGACTTCGCTTGGAAGTGGCACACATCACTTCTGCTAACATTTCATTGGCCAAAGTAAGTCTTATGATTAAGCTGGATATAAGGAAACAGGGAGGTCTGGTCCCCTTCCATGAGTTTCTTCCCCAAACCCATAACTCATAACTCCAGTCTCATGAGAAAAACATCAGACAAATTCCAATAGAGGGCCATCTTACAATGTACCTGATCATTACTCCTCAAAACTGTCATGGTCATCAAAAACAGGGAAGTCTGAGAAATTGTCACAGCCAAGAGGAGCTTAAGGAGACATGATCACTAAGTATAATGTGGGATCCCTAGATAGGATCCTGAAAGGACATTAGGTAAAAACTAATGTATAGTTAGTAAAATAATAATGTATCAGTAATCGTTTACTAATTGTAACATGTGCAATACTAATGTAAGATGTTAATGGGAAATTACTGTGTGTATGTGGGGGGATATCTGGAAACTCTCTATACTATCTTCTCCATTATCTGTAAACCTATAACTGTTCAAAAAACAATCTACTGAAAAATGAGTTATCTCTGTCCTCCCAGAGCTCAGTTGAGAAGAGAATAGAACCAGAAAAAATTTAATAGTGTCTTAAATGCTATAATAAAGGTTTGAAGAGAGACCTGTGGGAGCCCCATCAGGACTTTTAAGAGAAACTGTAATCTTTTCTACTAAACCATATCTTAAAATATTTGAATCTGCAGTAGCACCCAGCAAAGTCGGCATTCAAAAATCTGAGAGAATGAAGAGGAATTCAGCTCCCTCTTGTAAAATGGCCTAGATTTGGCAGACATAAACAGAGATACGTGAAGGTTAACTATGCCATGTACCACCACCCTAAAAGGTGAAAACAAATTTCAGTTCAAATCCTGCCATGCACATCTCTATTATACAAATGTCTAGTGAAATCCTGGCAGTTCGTCCTTTCTTCTTATGTTTCAAAAAAGGTTTTTTTTTGTGTGTGTTTTCTTTGAGTCAGTAGTAGGTAAATAGAAGCATCATCCAAAAAAAGGGCAGAGGAAAACAAATACCATATGATTTCACTTATTTTGTGGAATCTAAAAACAAAACAAAATGAACAAAACAGCAGTAGACTCATAGACACTGAGAAGTGACTGGTGGTTACCATGGGGTGGGTGGATGGGGAATGGGAGGGGGATAAAGAGGCACAAAAATCTCATTCATAATGTAGGTTGGTCATGGGGATGCAAGTGCAGCATGGAGAATAAAGCCAATGATGCTGTAAGATCTTCCTATGTTGACAGCTAGTAACTGCACTAGTTGGGATGAGGATTTAATAATATGGGTAAGTGTTGGACCACTGTGTTCTAAAAGGCTTGAGGCTTGACCATTACATAGGACACCATTTTGGAGGGTAAAGGTTGAAAGGTCACTAGGTATTTATATTTTTATAACTAGTTCACATGCAAATGAAGAGTTTCTCTTAAGCTATTTTAGTCAACATAATCTATTTAATCACTGTGAGCCCACTATTAAGATTCATCTTGCTAATGAACAGAATCCCTAGTGTAGAAAGTTAAGCTTGCTAAAGCTCTAACACCAAGAGCCTGAGCAGTGTGACCATTTTTATTTATGAGTAGTGGACCATCCCTATCGTGTGAATTCCTGGTTAGTGCAAATCAAGGGTTAAATCTAACCACGATATGCCTTCATTACATTATGAATGCTGAATGATTCTAAATTAAATTAAGGACATTACACCATTAAGTTTCTCCTAGTTATTCTGGTCTGCTAGCCCTGGTGGTTCGGTTTTCATCCTGTGGTGTAACAGAGCCCTCACTAACTGTGAGGCCTTGGTGGGTTCGACAGCACTACTGGGGATTCCCTCCTCTGACAGTTGAGGGCCCTGGGTTAACTCTCTTGTTTTTAGCATCCCTATAATCTATGAAACAGTTGTGTTGCAGCTGACGCCAAGAAAAACGTAAATGCTCATGTAGACACAAGCTTTAATTCTTTTGAGGGTCAAATTATATATGCCATATACATTAGCCTCTTCAGGTGATCGTATGTTAACATTTGACAAGTGTGTTTAGATTTTAAATGAATTTTTTTTGACATTTTTCAGTGACTTTATAAAGGATTCTATAGGTATTAGTGATGCTAGTGTAGACTAAGTTACAGCTATTAAAAAAAAAGTCCACAAGTCAAAATACTAACCACCACTACAGGGGCCCACCCACCTCGGAGCTATTAACTGTGCCTCTCTTCTATCAGGGTTGGTCTCAGAGAAGATGCTCTGGTCAGCCTTAAAACGCGTCAAAGCTAATTCGTGTTTCCAGTAACAGTCAGCGGATTTCTTCGCGTTTCCCGTGTGGTCCCTAAAAAAAAAAAACCCCAAATTTCTTTCAGAATTACCCCAAATGATTCCTTAAGCTCAAGCATATGTGGAGAAGCTCCAGATACGGCCCCACAACGCTCCCCCTTTCCTCCCCAAAAGTCGCGGAGCTGTGGATCCGCGGGCGCTGCGCGGCGCGCACCTGAGCGGCCGGGGCTCCCCGAGCAGGGCGCGCGCGGCGGCGGCCGGGCTCCTGTCCCGCGCGGTCCTCGGGCACGGCCGCCGGCTGCCGCGGGGCGGGCCAGGACGGACTCCGGCCGCGCACCTGGAGCCTCGCGTGGGCGTGTTTCGCTTCAGAAATCCCGAATCTTCCTAGGCACACGGGCCTTCCCCTGGGAAGAACCGCTGGCCCAGCCCCTCGCTCTGCTCCGCTCCACCCCAGAAGGCTCGCCGGGTCCTCCAGACTCCCGCGCGTCCTTCCCCGAGCCTCAGCCGCGAGCCCAGGTGTGCTCCGCGCCCCTCTGCCCCGAGGCCCGCGCCTCCCCGGCCTGCGGGTCTCCGGCGCTCCCGCCGCGGGTCCGGCCCCGCCCAGCCTCCGCCGCTCCGAGCTCCCGGCCCGGCCTCTCCGCCTCCCTCCCATCTCCACCCTCCACTGCCCTCCCCAAGAGTTGCTATTTTTAGCAAAGCCTCCGCGCGCCGCCACCGGTTCTGCTCGCAGCTCGCAAACGCGCGCTGCCGCCCTCCCGAGCTCCCCTCCCCGCGCGGCGGCCGCGGCTGCGGCGGCGCGTCCCGCACATCGTGCCGCGCGCACGGAGCCCGCCCCGCCGCGCCCGCCGCCCTCGCCGCCTTCTCCTCCTCAGCGCCTGCCGCGGCCGGCGAGACCCTGCTGGCGGAGCAGCGGTGGTCCCCGAGTCAACTTTCAACCCCCTCCTCCCCCTCTGCTTCTGCCTCGCCATCCTCCTCTCCGCGAAAGATGGCTGTTTGGAGAAGGGGGAGAAGTTAGGGGGTCGCCGGCGCGGGGCGAAGGAGGGCGCGACAGCCTCAGCAGAGCGGGCGGAGGTGAGTGGCACCACAGCCTACCCCGGCTGGGGCCCGGGGAAAGCCCTGGGAATTGGGGGCCCAGCGTCCTCCGGATGCGCCGCTGTTCCCCGCTCGGGTTGCCCTCGTTAACAGCATCCCCGTCCGGACCCCGACACAGCTTGCCTTGCATCTCGCAGTCGAGTGGTTGGTGGGCTTAAGGGAACCTTTGTCGTAAATTCGGTGCTAGGTGATCCCTTTGGTGCAGACCTTGGCATTAGGAGGCAAGCCCAGGCGAGGGGTCGGTGCCGTGACTGCCACTGCTCCAACCCACACACCAGTTTATGTCGGAGCCGAGTTATGAATGAAAAGTTTGTACTGCCAACATGTTGCTTGAGGGGAGCAATGTTTCATGGGGGTACCTTTGATGTTCGGTGGGGGACTTCAGTTCCAAGTCTATACGTAAGAATTTTGAGTTTTAAGAAAAGTTCCACAGCCCGGGGGATGGGATAGAGTGCAGTTCTTGGCTAGTGGAAGGAGATTGATGAATCGTAAACTTATTAAGGTAAACTGGTTAGTTAAATTCCACCGAGGGCGTCACAGTGGGGACTAGGGGAGCGGAGGACGGGGGCGTTCCTTGAGCACCTAGCGTTCATTTGGCTTTGAAGCCATCGCCCGCTTGTCTGCAGTGAGAGGTGCTGGTGTCAGAGGCCTGTGAGTCCGCGGTGTAATCTAGCGGGACCCAGCTGCTCTCCAGATCCCAGGCGCGGTTGTCAGGAGAGGTGGCCAGCGTCGGGGAGCAGAGGACACTGTTTATGTGATATGGAATTGGAAATTCAGGAAGATAAGTCACATCTGTTTTCCCTTCCAGGGAAGTGTGTGTAATCTCCTAAAAGGAACTTTTAGATTAAGTAACTAACATTTTGAAATATGTGAGAAAAGGTGTTATCTGCATATACACTGTACATGTAGATTGTGTGTATGTGTGTGTGTGAGTGAGCATGGGCAGAATGTGTGAGTGGGGTAAGATGGGTTTGCAAAGTTCAATAGGAAAAGAAAGGGAAGAGTTAAATTTTTTCTCACTAAAGAGTACAACAGTGCTTAATACAACTGAATAATCCTGTGTGCTGCGATTTCTCATAAGGGTAAGATTTAGGAATTAGAGGTATTTGGAGTGCAATCAGTGCTTTCAAATCTTGCAAGCATTGTTGAAATCGAGGAAAAGAGTAAGTACGTAGAGAATCTATATTAAAGAAAAATATTTTATTTGGAAAGAAAACAATTTGACATTTGAAAAAGTCTGGATGTTATTTTCTGATGCCCTAGAAATCTTAATCCTGTAATTAATAACAGCACAGAATAAGTTGCAGTTAGTAAATGAGGACAATTAAAATACCAAGTTTGGAAAGGATATCTTCTGAACTACTCTTTGGTACTTTGGATATTTATTATGAAAAATTATTGTGACAGAATATTTATTGTTTAATATATTCACTTTTTACCACAGATAATTAGTCCTCTTTTCCTTTTAAACCACTGTTATAGTTTGACGAATTTAATTACCCAAACACCAAATCACTGATGTGCCTTCTGGAAAGCATTTATATTTTAAATGCTTAATAATAATATTGTATTTCCAAAAAGACAAATAATTTATTCAGTTGTGAAACTTTCTTTTATTTTCATCCATTTTGTTTGAATGAGGCAGATCTCAAGAACAGAAGCATTTCATTTTCTGTACGGGAAAATGCGAATGTTTTCATCTTGTCATAAACAGGTGCATGTAGAGTGCGAATCCTGAGTCTGACTTTTGATATCAGGCTGCTAACTGGAAGGAGAGATGCTTTCCCAGCTCTTCTCCTGAACTGATCATATTCACTGTGGAATGGACATGGTTAGATGCATGTGCAGTTGTGCAGAAGGAAGTTAAAAGTTACAAGTCAAGTACCAGTGTATGGTTATGAGGGAGATTTTTTTTTAACCTCAATCTTCCTGTTTCTTTCCCTCTACAATTGTGCATATATATTGGACTAGCCATTATTGCAAAGTTAGGCCAAACACTGGTAGAAAGCATGTGGGCATATTAAACTGCCATCTTCCATAAAAATAATGATGGTGCTGCTGAAATTAAAATGGTTATTTTATGCATTATGGAAGACTTATGATTGTTTTATGACCATTATTGTGTCTCTTATTGTAGTAGAGTTGCTTAATGTAGTTACCCCCATTATATGCATATATAATTACTTATTTTATGTATTTGTGGTATATTTGGAATATATCTGAGTTTTAAGGGATTTTAAATCATAAAACCCCCTCACTAGATAGCCTGTTTAATTGATTAGTTTATATAATACACATAATTCAGATTTGTATTCATATCTGTGCCTAAAGATTTCAGGGTTCATAGCTTTCATTTCTTTTTATTAGGATTATTTCTAGTTTGAATCTGTTTAAATATTACAACATATACTGTAATTTACACCTGTTTAGTGGGGAAAGTGTAGGTTATTCTTAAATAGAGATATGGAGAAATAGCTAGCAAGGAGAGTCATTTGAGAAACATATGGACATTATAAAAGCCTTCTGTATGTAGCATCTGTACCTTCTCATTAGTGAAATATTGTAGTTATGGACATTTTTCTTATTACATTGAAATGAGGCTTTTTATTTTTGCTTCGATGGACTTTTCATTTGTTTTAAAATGTAATTTATATTAATGTTTAAATTGGTGGGACTTTTATTGTTCAAAGCTTTTTCCTTTCTCAAACTTAATTTTTTTTGCACACATTTGCAGATACATACAATTATTACCTAACTTGCTTTTATAACTCCTACCTTTCTCAGAGATTCTTCAAAACATTTGAGATAGATTGGAAGACACATTGTTCTCATTTTCAGAAAGAGGCAGCAGGTACACTGATAGATCCAAGGACACACACTAGTGAATCAGTGTGAATCTGAGGATAACATGTGTATTTCCTATGTTCTATTCACAACAGCAAGCTCCTGTGGCTACATTAATGGCATTTTCATACATTAATACATTCCTAGATTTTTAAAGTGCTTAAAATGGTAGTTGTGCAGGTCAGATGTTATATTGTTCAATGTAAGTCATAAGGGATTGGACCCTTATGGTTGCCTGCTTAAGGGGGAGAACCATGACTCCAATAGCTTGTGTTAAAACAGACGCACCTCTAGGGGTATCCATTCTTGCTATCAGTTCACATGCTGCTCATCCCTCTGCTTCCCCTGGCCCCACCTTATCAACTGCATTCTGCCCTTTTATTGGTCAAATCTGCTTTGAAGTTTATCAGCACAATGGTTAAGGTTGAGGATCATCAGTCTCACTGGTGAGTGAATTTCAGAATATGATTTTTCGAAGAGAGAATATTGACAGAGGACAGTAATGGACTGTCCACTCGAGAGCCAGCCAATATCGTTGAGAGATGGTGTTGTTCTGGTGTTGGGACACCCACCTCCTCTTATTAGCTCTGCTTCTTTGGCTGAACTTGTAGAAATCAAAGTGAACAGAGGGTTTATGCAATTATCTAGTAATTTCTGCCCATGCAGACCTTGTATCTGGATAAATCAGACTTTAAAAAAAAAAAAAGAAAAAGGATTGTAACTTGTTCGTCTGTAGAGAAGGTACTCTTATAATTTTTGCTTCATCCTCCCAAATCTCCTCTCCTTCAAATCTCACCAGAATTTTTCAGGGCAATTGGCCACATGATTTGTAACAGTTAAGGTGATACACTTCTGATATTTTATTGTTAGATTCAAAAGTAAAATGCATTATCTAGGATGCAGAAGAAAGCATTGTGATTTCATAGAAAATAATAATATGTAATCTTATTCAAGCTCACATGTATTTGATGAAAATACTTTCAGTATTTTTGAATAAGCAGACAGTATCAGGAGCTCTGTACTCTATTAATATTTTTCCTGTCCTTTCCCCTAAGTGTATTGTTAATAGGAGCTTATAAAAATCATTTTAAATGTGAAATACTGAAGAAAAATGTGACTCTTTCGTGTGGTTCTTGCTATAATGAATTCTGTTTAGGGCCCGAAAGAAAGGAAAACTTCCATTCTTTATATTCTTTGCTGCGCTAGAGAGAGCACGGCATGCTGCTGGCAAAATTGAGAAGAGTTGAGGTTGCTGGAAATGGTACTTTCTTCCTGTTTCTATAGAATCTGTGATAAGAAGGAGATGGGTGTGGACTAGTCTAGTTCGAATGGAATAGTAATGAGTGGAATTTGAAATGGCCACTGAAGGAAAGATAAGATTTGGATCATTCAAATATCACTCAAGATATTTGTTAGCAAGTCACTGAATCTAATTTTAGTTAATGTAAGCATTAAATACATGTATTAGAGGATATTGACTCAGTTTGTTTTCTATTACTTTGTAACACATTAGCACAGATTTAGCCGATTTAACTACAGGCCTTTATTACCTCAGTTTCATCGCTCAGGAGTCCACACATGGCTAGACTGGATCCTCTTTTATGGACCTCATCAGGTGTGGTGAGGGCTGTAGTCCCATCACAGACTCAACTGGAGAAAAACCTACTTTCAAGCTGCCTTAGATTGTTGGCAGATGCATCTCCCTGTGGTTGTACAACTGACATTTCCATTTCCTTGCTGGCTGTCAACCAGAGGCCACTCAGCCCTTAGAGGCTGCCAGCTGCTCTTTGCCGTGCGGCCCTTTCAGAGGCACTCTTACAACATATGGCTGCTGAGTTTTCAAAGCCAGCAAGGAGAAGTCCTTGCTCCAGGATGATAAGACAGTCTTATGTGACACATGGGGGTGGTGTGACAGCAGCTTTGGTGTATGACATAGTCTAGTCAAGGGAGCAACAGCCATCACTTTCACCATCTTCCATTGATTAGAAGCAAGTTATATGTTCTACCCAAACTTCAGGGCAGGGGTCCATACAAGGGCATGATTCAGTGGAGGTCACTTGAGGGTGCATGCACCTCACTGACTAGCTCACAGAATCTGTGGGGTGGTCAGTAGACCTGGCACAGAAGCCACTTAA